AAAAAAAAAAAAAAAAGCCAGAGGCCCGGCTCAGCGGCGAGTGGGCTTGTCACGTATTAATTTTTCATTGCTGTGGAGAGTTGTACATACATAATCACTTGATTGCAGTGGGAGTTAGGGAGCTCCTATGGTGTCATTTGCATAAATCTTGTTAAGTCAATGGCAGTTAATGAAGTACAAATGAGCCCGGAGAAGGTGACATGGAAATCGTGGGTGGCAGATGGGAGGTCTGTTTGGGGGACGGCAGCTGTGTGCTCTCCTTTCTTTCTTTCCCTTTGGCATTTTTTAATCTCTATATTACGGCACACATACACAGCCTCGGCCCTGGCCTCTCCCCTTCCCGGCAGACTCCTGGCCGGAGCCGGGCCTCACCTCGCCTCCCGCCCAGTAACGGGCACTGTGGTTTGTTTCAACATCCCCGACCTTGGGCCGCTTGTCTTGTGCTTCTTACACAATCGAAAGACATACACGTGTTTTATCTGGTGGGACGCACGAGCCCCTCGCTGAATACTTTGAGAGTATGTTTTCCTCCTGCAAGACCTCGAAGAATCACAAAGAGCAAAAACTGTCTTTGCTTCATTATGCGTCTGTGTGGAGTCTGGTCTCTCCCCCCCCCGCCCCCCCCACCTTGAGGCAGGCCACCAGTATTTCTCTGGCGTTAGTCTCCCGCCCGAAGCGGGGTAGGTATTCCCTGGGATGCCCGTTCTCTATCAGGAGCGAGAGGTCCTGGAAGTAGGGGGCCATCCAAGTCAGGCTGCGGCAGAGACCCCTCTCTGTCAGTGCAGACCCCTCCCGCGGGCCCCCGCAGGCCTGTCTCCGTCATCACGAGGGTGTCCCTGGCCCGCTGGTTTGTTTTTCGAAGCGGCAGGTGCCTGCAGGCCTCATCAGGGACTTTTAGATTCGTGGGCAAAACACAGCGTCTGCTTCCTGCTCGAAGAAGCTTTTTTTTTTTTTTTTTTAAATCTGTTTCATCAACTGGTTGATATTTTGAGAGGAACTGGTCTCTGTGGCTTTTGAAGAAAGGCAAGCAGAGAGGTGTCTGTGGGCAGGGTGCGTGGGGTGGCCGCTGTGGCAGTCACATGGGAGTCGCCGGGCCGTGGGCTCTTGGTCTGCGAATCCGGCTGAGGCCCTTTCCGGGTTTCGGGGGCCTGAGGGGTACCGCTGCGGGCCGAGGTCAGCACACTTCAGTTTGTGATGCCCCACGGATACACCAAAGGCATGAAGTGTCCTCAGAACACCTGCTTTTAAGTCTTAATTTTGACCTTGAACCTGGTTGTCAAGGTCCCCTCCGGAGCGGACAGTCGGCCGGGGAGAGTGGGCACTTGTCAACGGCCGCCCGGAGCCGCCAGAAAACCCTTCCCGAGCCTTGAGCGGAAGC